TATAACAGTTATATCCGGGGCAACCTAGGTGAACATGCTTTATTGAGAGTTGGTTGCATTGGTTGCTAGAAAAAAAGGCTCACAGTAGAAATACGTGCAATAAAGCATGTTCACCTAGGTTGCCCCGGATATAACTGTTATAGAACCTGTCTCTTATACACATCTAGATGTGTATAAGAGACAGGGATAACACCTGTAGGTTACCGAAGCTCCCTGAGGATAACAACTTGATAACATCTGCGTCAGTGCTGCGGCTCGGCAGCGTCAGCTTACGCGGGCCTCCCTTCTGTTGCTGCGGGGATAACAAGTATTGTGTTATCATCCTTGTTATCTTCTTCTGTTGCTGCGGGGATAACAAGTGTTGTGTTATCATCCTTGTTATCTTGTTCTGTTGCTGTGGGGATAACAAGTGTTGTGTTATCATCCTTGTTATCTTGTTCTGTTGCTGTGGGGATAACAAGTGTTGTGTTATCATCCTTGTTATCTTATTTTGTTGTTGTGGGGATAACAAGTGTTGTGTTATCATCCTTGTTATCTTGCTGTGGGGATAACAAGTGTTATATTATCATCCTTGTTATCTTGTTCTGTTGCTGTGGGGATAACAAGTGTAATGTTATCAGCCTTGTTATCTTGTTCTGTTGCTTTGGGGATAACAAGTGTTACGGTTATCATCATTGTTATCTTGTTCTGTCGCTGTGGGGATAACAAGTGTTGTGTTATCATCCTTATTATCTTGTTCTGTTGCTGTGGGGATAACAAGTGTTATGTCATCATCCTTGTTATCTTGTTCTGTTGCTGTGGGGATAACAAGTGTTATATTATCATCCTTGTTATCTTGTTCTGTTGCAGTTGGGATAACAAGTGTTATGTTATCATACTTGTTATCTTGCTGTTGGGATAACAAGTGTTGTGTTATCATCTTGGTTCTGTTGCTGTGGGGATAACAAGTGTAATGTTAGCATACTTGTTATCTTGTTCTGTTGCTGTGGGGATAACAAGTGTTGTGTTATCATTCTTGTTATCTTGTTCTGTTGCTGTGGGGATAACAAGTGTTGTGTTATTACCCTTGTTATCTTGTTCTGTTGCTGTGGGGATAACAAGTGTAATGTTATTGTTGGCATTACAACTGATAGATTACACCTGACAACTGGGGTGATTGTTGGCATTACAACTGATAGATTACACCTGGTTGACTTAAATTAGGGAGAGATTACACCTGACAACTGGGGTGATTTAAATTAGGGAGAGATTACACCTGACAACTGGGGTGATTTAAATTAGGAAGAGATTACACCTGATAACTGGGGTGACTTAAATTAGGAAGAGATAACACCTGACAACTGGGGTGATTTAAATCAATTCCCGTCAGTTTTTCAATGCATTAATCGCAAGAAATAAATATAAAGGATAATTTCACCAGTTTAACAGTTGTTTCATGCATTGTATATTAAATCATAAGATTTAATATAAACAAATTACAATACACATTGCAGGTTGGCAGGTTACACTAGCGTACCTAATATATATAAATGTTGATTTCACTAGTTTAATAGTTGTTTCTTGCAATATATTGTATTGTAAGTCATAAGATTTAAAATAAATAAATTACAATAAACATTGCAGGTTGACAGGTTACACTTGCGTACCTAATATATATATAAATGGTAATTTCACTAGTTTAATAGTTGTTTCTTGCAATATGTTGTAAGTCTTAAGATTTAACATAAATAAATTATAATGAACATTACAGGTTCCACTAGCGCACCTGCGTGGCCCAGAGGTTGAGGTAGCGCAGGTCGGGCAGGTTAATGAGGTGGTTAGCGCACTCGCTGGTGACGCGGGTGAACGCTAGGGATAACACCTGTAGGTTACCGAAGCTCCCTGAGGATAACAACTTGATAACATCTGCGTCAGTGCTGCGGCTCGGCAGCGTCAGCTTACGCGGGCCTCCCTTCTGTTGCTGCGGGGATAACAAGTATTGTGTTATCATCCTTGTTATCTTGTTCTGTTGCTGTGGGGAATGGGGATAACGAGCGTTACGTTATCATCTTATTTTGTTCTGCTACTGCGTGGATAACAAGTGTTAAGTGGGAAAGCTTGTTATCTTGTTTCTATGTTATCGTGTTCCCATGTCATCTCGTCACGTGTTATCCCACAGTTGGTACATTCTAGCTGTAAACAATGAATAATCGAGAGTGCAATGTTTATGGTAGTTAGGGTTAAAAATACAATTTTTTGCGTGAAATATCACAGAAAACTTCCGGATTATCTCCGACTTTCGCGGGCAAACTGTTGTATTTTTTAGAAAGCGTTAATTGGATTGAGCCTCTTGGGGAAAAAGTACAGGAGTGAAACGAAAAAATTTTAAGATTATCAATCGCAAGTTAAACAAGATTATTGTCCTGCAGATACAAGTAATCCAAGTAATAGTGTGAAAGAATTATTTGAGATAATCTAATAACACTAGGCAATTATATTCGAGAGCATTATAAATTTATAATTAACATACAAATGGAGCGCTGAAGGATCTTAGAAAAAAGTTATTGGATTTAGAATATAAGGAAATATTAGTATCGCCAGCAGTAAAATTTACTACAAGGCATAGCAGCGTAACAAAGCCCAGCGAAAGTGACTATCACTATCCAGTCTGGTTCATCATGATCTTCACTAAATGCCTTTTCCAGCCAAGTGTGTCAGAGTCATACCCCTGTCACTATCATCGACTATTATACCCCCTGTCACTATCACACCCTGTGCCCTGTCTCTATAATGCTACTGTCACTACCATTCCAGCTTCATAAGCTACATCACCATCTTCACCCCCCCCCCCCTCACCAGCTCGCTGAGATGCATCTGGCGGTCGCAGAGGTTCTGGTAGGCGCGCTTGCCTGACGACGTCGACTGCAGCGTCGTGACCACCTGCAGCAGCAGGTCCTGTGACTCCAGCATCTGCCACTCCAGCNCTTAGCACCTGCAACAGGTTAGTTGCTTAGCACCTGCAACAGGTTAGTTGCTTAGCACCTGCAAAAGGTTAGTTGCTTAGCACCTGCAACAGGTTAGTTGCTTAGCACCTGCAACAGGTTAGTTGCTTAGCACCTGCACATAGCACTGCAACAGCTCGATTGCTAGGTACCTGCTTAGTATTGCTCTCTACTTTGCACAGTAGCCTACCAGCTCAGTTTATGCTAAGTTCATACTTAGCACCCACCGAGTAATGCTATGGCCAAACTAAAGGCGTTCACGCGGACGCAGGCTGACGCTTCAAGCAGAGCGGCGACGCGCTGCGCGTATATGTGGCCACACTACCCTAACAAAATTTAGAGTCGCCCCAGCTTCTGGTAACCCAAATCAGAAGCTGCCGCGTCTGTAAATTTTCACTGGGTAGACGCTGGACCGCGCAGCTTACTCGAGTCAGTGTGTAGAAATGAGTGTCAGCAAGAGACTAACAGCTGTTCTCCTTGACAGTGGTTTTATAAAGAAATGAAAGGTAAATTCAGAAATCCCACATATACTTCGTTTTTTTTAATCAATTTGGATGAGATTAGAGAGATATTTTGATAGGTTATATAGCTATAATACGTACGGCGCGAGCCCAACTTTAATATAAATAGACTTGTGCGTGTGCAATTTTTTTAGTATAAAACTTATTTTTTATTTTGCCTTCATTAATAAAGCAAATGTATATCCTATGGCGATGCTGTGAGTGAGAGCAGATAGCACTCACCGCCAGAATTGGCGAGAGCAATGCCTTCACATCCTCCTCTCACGGCTACTTCACGGACACTGAACGCGCGGTGCAGCGCCGAGATATTTAATATCCAGAGAAATATGGTATTTCCAACGCGCTGTGCAGCGTGTGTCTGCTTGACGCAGCTTCTGTTTGTACGCGTCTAGTGCTGCCACTCTAGTAGAAATACATGCATATTATATCATGCATAGAAAACATATGCTCGGCCACTCTGGTAGAAATACATACATATAAGATCGCAGCTTCAGCAAGCGTCGGCCTGTGTCCGAGCCAACGCTTCTAGTCTGGCCGTAACATAAGGCTTAGCGCGCACAGCTTAACCTGCCGGTGATTATGAGGTGATGGTGTTTGTATGAAAAGTCAGGTATGATGACAACATGATGAAGCATGGCGTCCTGTGTAGTATAACGCCCTATGGAGTATGACGCCGCATGAAACATGACGCGCCAAGGTGCATGGCGCCCTATGGAGCATGACCTGATAAGGTACATGGCGCCCTATGGAGCATGACCTGATGAGGTACATGGCACCCTATGGAGCATGACGCCCTACGGAACATGACGTTAAAGTGCATGACGCCCTATGAAGCATGACGTCCTATGGAGCATGACGCCCTACGGAACATTTAGGTGTTGACATTTGACGCTGTGACTACATCTCTACTCTTGTGAGTAGAAATCAATTCAAGACGAGATCACACTCAAAGAAATGGACGAGACTTTGTCCAAATATTTATGTACTTTCCTAATTCTGTGGGTCATCCTTATCCAGTTAGGATAAATCATCCACGCATTTTTGAGCAGCAAAAATGCGTATCTGTCCGCTCAGTGCTCGTGCTGCTTGTAAGAAAGTGTGTCACTATTTGCACACTATGGCCCATGCATTTTTCTGAGTGCACCCGTGATGTTGTGCATCAGCTTCGACAAATGATATAAACGTGATATAATATTAAATTATATTTTATTTAATTATATAATAATTATATTACATATTTACTATATTATATAAAGATATATTATATTATAAACCTGAGCTTCTATCAACACGACAGTAACAACCAGGGAGCCACACAGTCATATTACTTACGAGTTCGTACCTCCGTCAGCCAATCACTGACTTTTTTTTTCAAGCTAAACTCACTAATTATAGGCGATCAATGGGCCGCTACGTGTACTTTGGCTGCTAAGTATACTTAGACCGCTACGTGTACTAATTAAGGCTCCCCTCACTACTCACGATGCTGGCCCAGGTGTGTCCGTCATCGACGCAGGAGGGGCGGGAGGGGCAGAGGAGGGCCAGCCAGCCCTCCTTGCCCTCCCGAGACCAGCACACCGCCTGGTGCACCTCACACCGCGGGTCGCAGCCCACGCGACCCACCACGGGGGCCAGGGACCTGCGGGGGAGTGGGGGGTGTGGGTCATGGGGGTGGTGGTGATGCAGTAAGGGTCCTATACACTTAAGAGTCTGACTCGCAAGTCTAGCTCGGCTCGCCATCAAACTTACTAAATCCGACAGTGTATGGCACCTTACGAGACGATGAGAATAAGCGGAGCAAAATAAAGGCGAGCCGTAAAAATAAAGGCGAGCCGAGCCGAGAAAAATAAAGGCGAGCCGAGCCGAGAAAAATAACGGCGAGCCGAGCCGAGAAAAATAAAGGCGAGCCGAGCCGAAAAAAATAAAGGCGAGCCGAGCCGAGAAAAATAAAGGCGAGCCGAGCCGAAAAAAATAAAGGCGAGCCGAGCCGAACAAAATAAAGGCAAGCTTAGCCGAGAAAAATAAAGGCGAGCCGAGAAAAATATTGGTTAGTCGAGCCATGGCTTGCATGGATTGCCGTACGGCTCGGCTCAAATATCAATACGCCAGTATATGGAGCAGTGGCATCGAATGCGTCAGTTTACGTAGTCGCTACGTAGGAGTTATAAATGTTATAACTTTGCGTTGTGAAATATTTAACCTTGTGCAATAACATATTAAAGCTCTCGACAGGTATCCTTGAATACTTCAGCTAATCATTACGATTTTTATTTTTAATTAAATTTAACAAATTCAGATGAATGAATCTCTGTCTATTCTGCAACCGATTCTTCGACGAAATTCACCTTTTCTTCCGTTTCTTCTTTAATACATCTACCTCATCTACTGTATAATGGTAAAAATAAGATAATTGTGTTGCGTGATAATATCTGTGGCCACATGTTATTTCTTGGATATTTATCTGTTTCCTAATTCTTTAATCTTATTGTTTCTCCGTATCAGGTTACCGGAATTTTTACTGTTCAATCAGTGCATCGTCCAGAAATCCTAGTTTTGCAAGATTATAGATTTCTAGAATTATAGTAAAATTTTTGCAACACTTTAATAAATTCAACATTAAATTCTTTTTCATACTACTAGACACCAAGCAGAGGAAAACGTGTTTGAGACAAACGACCGCTAGAAAACAACTCACAGAATGTAACATTGACCTAGAATATTAAAAGAACAATTATATCTAATGTGGAAAACAATCGCCTAGACCAAAATATAAAAAACATTATTAAGCGTCTTTAGGGGCTAGTCAATAATACTATTACTAAAGCCGTGACTTATTATTGACGTGAATATTGACGATTGATGGGAGTATTGTAATAGATATTTACAAAAAAAAAACTTTTGCAATAGAGAAGAGAATATCGACATGAATATTTAATTCAATATTATTGTTAATAATATTCTTACAAAAATAATAACATCCAAGCTAACGTTGGTCCATTTAATCCACCGCCAATTGGGTTTGATTTTGAGGATAAATTTTACCCCAAAGTAGATTTATTGTCAAGAAATAAGCGTGAATTAAATTAAATTAAATTAGCCGCTAATACCGTGACCACGCGTGAAGATATTATCGATGTTATCGCGATAAGGGAAACAAGGCGTACGCCCTCAGCCAATATTGGATATTGACAGGCCAATATTGGCGGTAATATTAAGCGTGGGAGCTGATCAGTGCCATTATTAATTAATTATTACTAATTTCGGATTAAATTATTGATAATATCAGATTAAAATATTGCTAATTTCGAATTAAATTATTGATAATTTCTGATTAAATTATTGAAAAAATAATTGTACATTAAAGGCGAGCCGAGCCGAGAAAAATAAAGGCGAGACGAGCCGAGAAAAATAAAGGACAGCCGAGCCGAAAAAAATAAAGGCGAGCCATGCGGGACAATTCTAAAATTCAATTGAACAAATTCATATGAATATATCTGAGTTTATTCAGCAAACAATTCTTCGACGAAATTCGCCTTTTCTTCCGTTTCTTCTTTAATACATCTAGCAAATTTATAATATTAAAAATAAGTTGATCGAGTTGACGTGAATAGTGACGTAAATTTAGTAGTGTATATTTACTGAAAAAATACTTTTGTGAATAGAAAAGAGAAACTCGACATGAATATTAAATTAAACATTTTTGTTAATAATATTCTCATAAAAATAATAACATCCAAACTGGCATTCGTCCATTTGATCCACCGCTAATTGGGTCTAATTTGGTGGATAAATTTTACCCAAACGTCGATTTATCGTCAAGAAATCGGATGTGAAATAAATTAAATTGAATTAGCCGCTAATACCGTGACCACACGTGAAGATATTATCGATGTTATCGCGATAAGGGAAACAAGGCGTACGCCCTCAGCCAATATTGGATAT